CTTCTGGTTAGGTGGAAATTGGTCTTCTATGAAAGTCCTTTAATGTAGATAGGCACAATCTCTACAAATTTTGTTTTCTGTGTTCAAAAGTTACTTCAGTGCTTAGCGACTTTACTACACACAGTGCATAAAAGTAATTTCATTCAATTCTCTTAAATTTTTCTTCAACAATACAGATAAAAATTAAGCCACTGTTGGCAATTCTGGAACTTTATTTTTCGTCTCGTATCACCAAGAATAATATAATGACTAAAAATTATTTTTTTTTGTTTTGAATTTTAATGTATTTTAACTAAAGCCGCATGCTTATATTTTTTATTAAACCCCATTTTTGCAGTTCTACATATGTTTTACATTCATTTCATAATGCGGTGGTGGGTCTGCTTCAGCCTAAAAATACCTGATAAGGAAAGAACATGAAAGAAACATGTCAGTGTAAAATTTAAAATCAGGCAAAAGCATAATTTTAGTTTGGTATAGAGTTTGAATAAAAACTCTAAAGACTTCGACAGCGATTACATACAGGACCACTTCTTCAGGAGAAAAAAATTGCTCGTGTAGAGGGTTTTGACTGTGTGAACGAGCATTTATTCTTTCGAGAAATTATTTCATACATTTGTAGAGATATTAGGTTATTTGGAAGCAGGAGACATGAAAAAATGAACAATGTCTTCGCCGGGATTCAAACACACGGACCTCTCGAATTCGAGTCGAGCATGCTGACCACTACACCACGAAGGTATGCTAGAAAGGCGGGAGAAATACCTTATACATTCAGTGTCTTTCTAACTTGTCATTCTTATTACATACTAAAAGAAATGTTATCCATGTTCTAATACTAAAAAATCAGTCTCAGATTCAGAGCAACGATCTCAAAAGATACGTTATCCATTCTAATTCTCGTACTTTAAACATTAGTTTTATTACGTATTGAAAAAAAGGATTTAAGAACAAAATTTTCTGCAGATTCTGCGATTAAATTATAATGGATTAATGCTGGATGTTACCTAATTTTAGAGCTTCAGTGTGCTCCAGCAGGAAAATATGATTTTTCTTGAAAACAGCAGAGAACAGGAGTCATGCCTCGCTGAGCTCCGGCTGAATTTAGTTGCTTAAGTCGTTAAAGTAATTTAAATTAAAGTTTTTTGCTTATAATTATGTAAAATCTAGCTTTATATATTTGGGGGGGTGGAATGATAACATAATCATGGATTTATATATGAAATTCAACAGATTTTGCCACGTGTTGAACAAAGAATGAAAGAACCATGAATTGAACAAAGTGAAATTGTAGTGTTATATCCCAATAAATGTAGGGTAAAGAATATTATTCCATTTAATCGTCTATTTTTTCAATGCAATTCTTCTGTTTAATGTCTTTCAGTAAACAAGATTACTAGTGGCTTTTAATATATAAATTATTTAAGAATCTCTGATGCCTTGTATTATATGAGATATGTGAAATTAATACTTTATTTAAGAATCATTCCTATGGTGTAGCTTTAATTTTTTTTAAAGTCTCATCAGGAATGCTTTGCTGCGAAACTACTTGGGATTAATTATTGTAGCCATTATCTGTGTAACATGCTATTCCCACAGAACATTTTCGCTGTATAGAGTTCATCACTTATAAAATGTTAGAGACAACTAGCCATTTAAAAAAACTCGCTGACCGGTTTCATCACTCAAGAAAAGAAGCGCGTCTTTTGCTTCTATACGAAACTATAGACTGCAGATTTCTATAATCAGTACCAATCACTGGTCACCAAAATAACAGTTAAAACTAGTTTTTATGTGTATGGTAACTCAATAAAAAAGTTTACCAAAGTTTAGCTGTCCAAAAATATTTTGGTATATGATCCTAGCTCCATATAGCTGGAGACCTTAGAAAAAGACTCATAATAACTGCTTTAAACTTGAAAGCTCGGAATTCAGTGACGACATCTTTATAAACTTCAAGAAACATGGGAAGGAGAAGCGTCTATCAATATTCGTAACAACAAATCGCTCACATATTAGCGGTTCTTTAGTTAATTTTAAAGCTATTTTGAGTACTACGGCCAGGTGTACGATCATATATACTTATTTAGTACGTATTAGGAATGCAATCTAGTAACAAGAGCTTTTATTTTTAATAATATTATATTTTTATTTGAATGTTAAAATATTTTCCATCAGGAACTAAATATGTATTCTGTTTTTAATTTATTTATAAAAAGAATTTTTACTGTAAAGATTTTGGCTTAAGGGTTATTTCTCAATGTCGCGAATTCCTTGACAGGCAATGTCAAGAAAGCAGGGCTATGCACAACAGTGCATGTTGCGAACACAGAGAGAATGTTTCATGCTCCCTTGGTGAGATGCAAGCCACGGGGAAGGGAGTATGCCTAAGAATCGGATGTACTCTTGCAACAAGATTTCTTTGTCAGAAAGCCTGGAAGGGAAGGTTAACATTTATTTCGTTGAACGAGGAAAATGGATGCAGCAGCTTTGTAAAAAAAGACTTGACATAGAACATGGCACCATTTATTGCTTAATGGGTTCTTGGATTACACAGAAAATATTATTTTCTTGACAGATATTATCTCGGGGCGGGAAACTATCTCAGAAAGTTCCCATATCGATGGGGAGGAGAAAAATACCCTACTTGTTTTTCCCGGGGCGCTATAGAAATATGTGCGGTGTCTAATTTTAATTGCTATGTGGATATATTGGTTTGGAAAAGGTTGTGGTGGACCGTGAGGACTAATTAAGTTCAAATGAGAAGTGGTTGCATCAGAAAGGCGTAAAGAATTTAGCGGATAATAACTAATAGGTGGGAAAATGGCGGAGAGAGGTGAGAGTAATGCAGTGATGATTCTCGAACGTGTACGAGAAAAAGAAGAAATTACAGAAGATGTATCGGCCTCGTGGAAGTTTATGAGCTGCATTGAATAATTTACAGTTGATGAAAGAGAATGACATGAACGGAAAATCCCTGAGAAGGAACTGTGATGATTTGTGTGCTATGCAAAGAAATACCGAATTTGTAAATCCAAAAATGAAGATCGACCGAAACTCTGTCTTCGGGACTGTTCTTTAATAAGTGAAATAAAAAGGTGCGTGAGCATCCGAATTTCTGATTTAAGATTTAGAATATAGGTTTCTGGCACCAACTGATGATGTGCGATTATCTGGGCAATGTGTTCCTTTTTGCAAAATATTATAAAGAGACTGTTCCGGACGGGTACTAGTCAGCGACTTAGAATATCGCTTCTGACTGCCAATGTGAAAGGACATGGTTCAGTGTTCTCGTCTACGAACTGTAATACGAACTGGTATTTAGCCAACTTGAGAAAACGGCTCCACTCTTCGAACAATAACGAATAGTTTTAAAATTTGTAAATAACTTTTTAGGACAGGTCGCATTAATTAATTTGCAGCCTGATACTCCGAGTTATATTCAAATATAGCTAAAAAAGTGTAAATTATGTTATGTTAATCGAACTTGGGGTTAATTTTTTGCGACTGTACTTACTTGGTTATGAACATGTTCATTTGGAAGAAAGATAAAAGTATTGTGTTCTCAAATTTGTGGCTAATTATTTAGCGCTATTCCTTCCTACACAACACTACATTAACTGAAAGTACTTATTTATGCATAATTTAAATTTAGAAATTAAAAAATGCATTTGTAAACATATGGGATATTCAAAACAAGTGACACAACGCCTGTTTTTGCCTTTAATTTTGATGGTAAGCATGCACTAATTTACAAACGTTTTCAGAATAAATCAGATAATTTTATGAAAACAGTTTCGAGGCTGGAGGTTGGATGTTTTAAATTATAATTTAAATTTTATACTGTCAAGTTGGGACATTTGTCCACATGATAAAACGTTGATTGTGTTTAAATAAGTTAAATACAAAATCTTCCATGCTTTTAATTGGAAAATTCGCAGAGATATAAGTGAGGAAATTTCCTAATTTACATTACTTTTCAGTGTAGATAGCTAACGAATTTGGATCAGATACGTATTGAGAGAATCTAGAATTTTTTTTAAATGCTTAAAGTTACTTATTTTGATGCTTAATAATTCCTTACAAGGAAAAGAAATGCCATGGATAACATAATGCTATAAACGATAATGAGATTAATATAACAATACCTTCCATATTTCCATTTAAAAGAACAGAATGTTTTGTATTTTACTCATTAAAGCTCAATGAACATTTTGATCTGAAGACCATATAAAAAGTTAAATTTTATGTTATCGAAACTTCACAATTCCTAATGATAAAAAGTAATTTCGTAAATTTGTAGGGTTTTCCTTATTTTGCATAACAAATTTATTTTAAGTTTGATACTTTAGCTGAACTTCTCAACTTCCCCTCACATTCTCTCGCCAGGATGCAAATTTAAAAATAAGTGAAGTGCTTATTTAAACGGGTGAATCTCTAAGTTTATTCAGAGCGTGTTTTGCTAGCCAAGTGCACGTTTCGTTGTTGTTTTCGCTGGTAAGCCTCTTGGCTGTATCGGATTTATCATCACGCCGGTTAGGTTTTACTGTGAGTCCACCTGGTAGGCGTATCTAGCACTACTTATTTTAGGTTTGACTTAAAATTATATTCTATGTTTTAGTTTCACCGCAAGTTGAACGGTGTCTTTGTGACGCACGAAGACCGTACATTTCTTTAATTGTTTTAGATTAATTTTAAAGGGTTATTTTTCACCCTTCTTCTCGAGTCAGTAGTTTTCTTCACGCCTGTGCCAGAATCCGTCAGGTCATTTTAGGATCTACTGTAGTTTATGTGAAACAAGAGAGTATATAAATTTATCAACCTTATTTAGAAAATCTTTGCATCTGGGACTAATATTTAATAAATTGCTACGGTAAATACTTAAACCTGTGATTACATTTTTCAAATACCTCGTATATTAGTGCGTAATTACAGGCTTTTCCTTGCTACTTATGTTTGAGTAAGTGAAACAAAAAGATTAGAAATTGATACAAACTTACAGTTTCGACCATTTTCCTCCTGCTGCTCCAATTTCCATAAAAGCTGACTTAATTTCTTTCTGAATGATGTATCTTGAGTAATCTAAAGAAGAAATTAAAATAATTTGAGGGAAAATTTTTTTACGTACTGGATTACGAAAACATAAAAAGTTCTTAACTACAGCTGTTAGCTGATACTGATACATTGGCAGACTATATCCATTAGAAGAAAGTATGAGGTAAATACATGCATAAAGACAGAAGGAACAATAATAAAACGCAGAAAAATTAAAAAAAGAGTAGGCCTAGCGATTTTAACAAACCACGCTCATCTTCTTTGAAGTTTCAAATTTACACTTTTAAAACTCGGCAGTGTTAGGAGTGATATTTCAGCCCAGCTTCGTTGATTCTTGTTATTTGATTCCTCAAAGTCAAATATAATTACATGTGATGGAGTTGCCTTGATTTCCCAGTGAAATCACTTCATGTTGTATTCTGTATACATTTCACGCTGATTTCCTATGACATGGCGAAAGCTTGATTGTGGAACGATTTGTTTGAGCAGACATATTATTCATGCCAGGATGATCAGGAGCATTAACCACGGCAAACTGAGCCAAGGTGTAGTTAACAAATTGATTAACAGGTCTCAGAAATTTTTTCTGTAAACTCTGAATTTCTTTCCGAATCTCGTTTAAGCGCAGAAATTTCTTCAATGACATTGGTGATTGCTTAATTTTCGTTCTGTAACTTGTTTTCACATTTTTGTCTGTAGAAGATACTTTCTCATTCATGGCAATCATAACTTTCCCTCTAACTGCCGCCCTGATTTCTTTGTGTTCATGAGTATGTGCTGCTATAGTCTACTTCATTTCTGTGGTCATCTCAACAGTAGTAGCTTTGATGAAGGTCTTCATCTCAGCGGCATTTACTGAGACCTTTCTCATTTTGAATAGAGTCGAAGAGATATTTTCCTTCATTTCAGTAGTATTAGCTGATGCTTCCTCAGTACTGATAGCAATAATTCCCATAGTAGACATAACATGCAGTTCCATTTTCCTTATTATCATCATTCACAAAAATCCCACTTTTAACACCAGGGGTTGCAATCTATAGGTTCATCGACATCTCTTTGAACAATCATCAATTTTTGAACATCAAGTCACCAGATGAGACGGAATGAATTGACAATTTATTGTAATTAATAATAAAACATAGCAAAATTAATAGCTGTGTATAACTAACAGAGAACGCAGATATGAAGTACATCCTCGATAACACACAAAAAATAACGCAGTTTATCGGAACCACGCCCAAATTTAACTCTAAAATGGAGTTCAACTAACTCTCTTTGAACCGCAGTCTTTCTCAAATTATTCTAAACTGATTAACAGCTAACTTATCTTAGCTGTCAGAACTAATTCCACTACAGCGAACCTGGTTTATAATGAAACTCTGCGCCTTCGGTCCCATGCAATTTCTTAGCCATTTAATATAATTTTATACGTCTATAGTGAGCTTTAAAACGTATAATAATCACACAAAATGAACTTTGTGGATTACTTATACTTTTTAAGAGAAACTTACGTAATTTTTGTCTAGAATTTCTTAAATTTTAACCGAAAAATTATCAACATTTAAAATCATCATTTTATGCTATAGGATAGCGAAAACCACCTTTATATTACTGTTCTTTTATCTTCATCCCCACTTTTCTCTGTGTTTTAAGCAAAGGCTATGTGAAGTAGGTTGTAACAACCAATTCCTGAAAAATCAGAATATACAATAAGCATACATTAGAGGAGGCTGAGCCGCAGGGTAACCAATGAACATTGAATGAACTTGAATGTTTTAATAATTCCATTCAGATTTTTCAATGAGCTGTAAAACAAAATGCTCTTTGAAGTTTTCGCAGTTTAGAAGGAGTTAGAGAAGGAGGAAAGAGCAAATAGATTATTATGAGTGAAAGGCTATACGAGTAATTCTTCTTTTAATGAAACTCCTTTTATTCTAATTGATTTGTTTTATTCCAATGTTTAAAACTCTTTTCAATTTCTTTCTTAAAATTCTAAACCAGAGGTGGGGAACGTGCGGCCTATAGCTCTTGCATTAATTAATATTTAATTATATAGATAACGACAGTTCAAAAATTAATAGAATTAAGTAACGTTCTATCACCTATTGAGCCTAACATGAATTAGAATGCTGCAGTTCTAGCAGTCTTTCACAGTCTGAAATTATTGCCATTCTGGCGCACTTTTCAGTTGCCAACATCCAACAATAGAAATTCTTCTGTTTGGTTCTTATTTTTAGCTATGGCTCACTCCTACTTGAAATACACTAGCCCTAATGCTATAGCCACCGCCATCCACAAGATACCGTGACGATGGCTGTTCTGAGAGACAGACAGTACCTGCTTTTCTCCTTTTGCCCCGCACCCCTCAGCATTGCCCTGTATATTGCGGATTTGGTGATTTGTAGTTACCTGTATGTGCTTATAACAGTCTCCTCTCGTACTGCTATCCGGCTATTGTAAAAACTTAGTTATTGTTTTACTTACTCTGAAGTTTTACTAATACACGGTTTTATTGCATTTTTAGTAAGTATACGCTTTTTTAAAGATACTATTTGATAGTTGTTTTTTCTCCATCATGTCCAATTGTAAGAGAAGAAAATTAAATGAAGAAAATAGAACACTTAATGTAAAATGGAAGTTAAATTATTTCTTTACTTCTGTAAAAGACAAAATGATGTGCTTATTGTGCAATACAGTTTTGACTACTTGAATAAGCGAAAGCAAATAAACACTATTTGACTCACAAAGAAACATAAATATTACAATTTATAAGATGACTCTCGACAAGCTGCAGTTCAAAAATTGAAAAATGAAAAGCATCATCAACAGCCGTCTTTTAATGCCTTTGTAAAGAAACGTAAATTTGCACTTGCAAAATAGCACATAAACTTGGAAAAGAGGTACTCCATTTAGTGATGTAGAATTAATTAAAGAATGTGTGGTTGAAGCAGTAGGTATCTTAGATCCAGAAAACGTTGATAAATATAAACAATTGTCTCTTTCAAGAAGAATTATAACAGATCGGCCGCAACTACGTACAATTATACAAAATGAAGATGCTTATTTTTCGACTACTTTAGATGAAAGTATTGATAAAACTGACTCGGCGCAAGTTTTATATTTTATTCGGACACTGTAACTAAAAGTTTTCAGTATTGCGAAGAACTTCTTGAGCTGGGTACACTAACCAGAAGAATTCGCGGACTTGACATTTTAGAAAACTTCAGAGGAATACGAAATCGATTACAATTAAATGTCAGTAATTTAGTCAGTATACGCACCGATGATGCAACTTCCATGAGAGGGAAAAAAGAAGAATTCCTTGCTTTATTTAAAAAGAAAAACTTGAAAAAATTTATATCATTTCACTTCATTTTGCATTGACCAAAAGTAGCCATTTTGCATGACACTTTGGATAGAACTCTTTCGCTTGTGTACTATATTCGTGCAAATGCAATGCGTCAACTTTATTTACGGCAGATGCTAAATTTAGATGAAGAAACGTGCAGTGATGTACCGTACTACGGAAATGTTTGCTGGCTACCAACAAGACAGGTTTTGATAAAAGTTTTATCTTTACGGCGACAAGTTTTAAACTTTTATCAAGAAGAGGGAAAACTATGTGATCTATGAGATGAAGCATTTTGTAGAAACATTGTCATAATATCAGACAAATGTTTGCAATTTGTAGAAACATTGTCATAATATCAGACAAATGTTTGCAATTTGTAGAAACATTGACAAATCGCAAACATTTGTCTGATATTATGACAAAACAAAACAATTTAAATATTTGCCTGTAAGGTAAATATATGAAATGTGGTAATAGTAAGGTATATAAAATATGGCAAAAGATCCAAGCGTTTCAAAAAATATTAACAGTTTTCAAACCATTGCTCTTTTGCTTGAATATATCTGCAAGACACCGTTTAATTTCCTGTTTTGGAAGTACTTACTGCTCAAGTCAACATTTTCTCTCATGACAAAAATTAAAACTAGTTTAAGAACGCAAATTACAGATGCTCATTTAGAAGATCTACTAAGGCTACGCGTTACGAAGCTTGATTCAAATATTCAAAAACTTTCAGGCAAGAAACTATAGAGACATTAGGTTAATTGGAAAAACCGGAGAGATGAAAAATTAGCAACCGCCTTCGATGGGAATCGAACCACGGACCTCTGGAATACCGGCCCAGCGTGCAGAACCACAACACCCCAAAGGCACGCTAGGAAAGCGGCAGAAATACCTTATAAAACAAATACAAATATCCCGCTAAGTTAAATTTTCCATCTGACTTTAACATTATTTTACATATTGTTGCTATGTTTGTTTTTTATAAATTAATATTATTACTTTTCTGTAATAAATTTATTGAAAAATACTTCTACCTTTATTATTTTTATTAGAAACAGTACTTAAAAATATGTAGTTATTTATTAAAATTATTAAAGATTAATGCTATAATAAGTTAGTATTTCCTTATGTGAATACAAAAATATTTTATATTGCAAATTTTTATTTTAATAAACGACTTAATGTTTTTTGCATTATTTCTATATAATGCATAAAATGATAAAACTACACAAAAACTATAATAATTTCACAAAATTCGCATTTATAGGTATATCACCTTATGCGGCTTCCTTTATCACTGCGTAAGTTAAATGTGGCCCCTCATAGCAAAAAGGTTCCCCAACTGTGTTCTAAACGTTTACCTTTCATATTAAGACGTTTCGCATGAATCAGAATGTATTCAAGACAATTCGTTTCTGACAAGACACTTTTTAATGATGCACTTAACTAACACTAAACCTTCAGCGGCTTTTAAAGAAATTAATACGAGAAAAATATTTATGAATGGTAGGCGTTACCTGAATCTGTATAAATAACTATCATAAATCCTGTTAATTATTCAATAACTTAACATCAACGCTACAGTCTGCATTTATGATATGATATTCAGCTTTATGAAGTTTAGTTTTGAAACCTGTTAACTTTCATAAACCTAAAGAAAAACGAAAGGTCA